TGCGCCAGACGTTGCCGGCCCACCACCTGCTCTAAGGTGACCAAGCAGGATCACTATGCTGAGGTTCAATCAAGTTCTTAGGGGATCTTACTCTCTAGCAGGGGTAGCAAATTAGTAGCCACTCAGTGTTCACTTTGTGATTCATGTATTTTTATGTATATTTTGATACTTCTTCTTGTTGTTACATGCCATTGAGTCAGTACCAACTTATAGTGACCCCATGCACAACAGAAGGAAACACTGCCCAGTCCTGGGTCAGCCTCACTACTGTTGCCACATTTGAGTCCATTGATGCTGCCACTTGGTCAATCCATCTTGTTGGGGGGGTCTTCCTCTTTTTCTCTGACCCTCCACCTTACCAAACGTGATATCCTTCTCCAGAAACTGCTCCTTCCTGACGATATGTCCGAAGTATGAAAGATGAAGGTTGGCCATCCTGGCCTCCAAGGAGCACTCTGCCTGCACTTCTTCCAATACTGTTTGTTACTTTGTTATTTTGATACTTACATACATAAAAATACATAATCATAAAAGTTTGCAACAATGATGAAGAGTTGGATAGCACTGGTATTTTGTCAGTTGCAGTGATAACTCTGCTTGTGGAATTTTCTGTATAATCTGGATTATCCCTGGGGATGGGGATAGTGTTTCTAGAAAGAAAGTTAGTAAGCATTGTCTGTATGGTCCTTTTCTACCCCCTCACCGTGCCCCATGCATTTCATGATAACATTTTACTGCTTCTCAAATCAGCATTTGGGTCCAGGTTTTCAAGCAACAGAAACTCCTGATTTAGTTTGGTTGTGGTTGTTAAATGCTATCAAGTTAGTTCCGACTCATACCAATCCTGTATAGCATTCCCAAGGAGCAGCTGGTAAGTTTGAACTGCTGACCTTGCTGTTCCAACCAACTATGCGCTCCAGTGCTTATCCTATAGCACCATACCAGGACTCCATTAATTTAGTTTATAAAGCTAGATATATGTGGCAATGTTTTGAACAGCAAATCATAAAATTGAACGTCTGGGAGTGAACAGCTTGGAATGATAGCACCAGCAAACTATGTGCTGCGACATTGTAATACTTTTGTTTTTTACTAATGATGCAATGCACCAAACAATTTTTAAAAACATTCGCTATAACTAGAATATGTTGTAAATCCGGCACTACCTGTGTTTCCAAACAGTGCCACATTCATAGATACAGGGGTTAAGACTTCAACATTTCTATTTTGGGAGACATAATTTCATCATTGTTGTTGTAGTTATGTATTGTCGAGTCAGTTCTGACCTATAGTGATCCTATATAGGGTTTCCAAGGACTGGCTGGTGAGCTTCAACTGCCGACCTTGCAGTTCAAACTGACATGCAGTCCAGCCCATTAAACCACAGTGCTACATCAGGAATTAGGTGTTTAGAGTGGGCCAGTAGGTAGCCATGACCTAGAACAGGACAGTACCCAAAAGCAGAAAATAATAAGAATGTAAATTTAAAAGTATCTAAACTTATGAAGTCAGATGACTGTTTTATGGTTAAAATGGATTATGTACATGATAATTTTTCTTTTCTAGTGATTCTGGCAGGAATCAGACAGTTCAATGAGGTCCACCAACCACATTTAGCAAAGAAAAATATAGGATGCCTAGTTAAATTTGAATTTCATCTAAACAACAGACAATTATTTAGCATAAATATGTTCCATGCATAGTCCTGGTGTGGCATTTCAGATTAATGCACTGGACAGCAAGGTCAGTTTGAACCACAAGGTCAGCTGTACAAACCCACCAGCCGCTCCTTGGAAACCCTATATAGGGTTGCTATGAGTCAGAACCGACACAACACAGAACTTATCAACAATACCAATAATGTTCCATACAGCAGTAAGTGTCATCGTATTTGTACGAAAAAATTCTCACTTCTGTAAAATTCAAATTTAACTGGTCACCCTATATTTCATGTGACAATACTTACTAAGAGAGCCAACATATTTCAAAGCCTTCCTAGTCGAGCACTTTCATTTTCCTGTTCCCACTTAAGAGTTGTCATGTCACTTCTTCTATGTCATCCCCCTGAAGGCTTCTAGTCATATGGGAAAGTCAAAGGAAGGGAAGGGGTCCATATACAAAATGATAATATCTGTGATTTTATTTTCAATTTAGATCATTAACATTTACTTTCCCATAGACCTTTTTGATAACAGAGTGCAAAAGGTGGTTTCTTTTGAACATTAAAATGGAATCTGGAATTTTATAGCTAAGAGGAGAAAGTGTTCTTTTCATCAAATATTGTTGCTGTTTTAAGTACTGTTCATTCTGACTCATCGTGATCCTGTATGTAGACTGTAAATTTTTACAGGAGCAGAAAGTCTCATCTTTCTACCATGGAGTAGCTAGTGGACTTGAACCATGAACCTTGTGGTTAGCAATCCTGTACATATCCTACAGAGCCATTACACTCTTTAAATAGTTCTTTTTTCTGTCTCTCTTAATTTGGCAATATTAATTTCTTACTATTTGGGGAGAAAGTGATTTACAAAATGAACTATGAAGCATGTATCAGTTAAAAAAAAATAGCTGATGTTGAGTCAAATCTGAGTCATGGCGACCCTATATGTGCCAGAGTGGAAATGTGCTCCTTAGGGGTTTTAATGGCTGATTTGTAGAAGTAAACCTCTGTAGTGTCTCTGGATTGACTAGAACCTCCAACTGTTTGGTTATTAGCTGAGCACGTTAAATGTCTGCATTATCCAGGGACTCCATGTGCCATCTACAGGAATTCTTTATTCTCCATAAAATATCTTTTAAAATATAAGTCTGGACTTAAAAAGAGAGTTTTGCTTGTGTTCATTATCATGCAGAAGTATTTTTTTCTAAATCTAATAAAATACAATTGACAATATGCAATTTATTTTCTTTCTTTCCTCGCAGGCCCTGGACCCTTCTTAGTTTTCTACCATGGAAATAGCATATTTAGGATTGACTCAGAAGGAACTAATTATGAACAATTGGTGGCAGATGCCGGAGTATCCGTGCTCATGGATGTTTATTACAAGCAGGAAAGAATCTATTGGGTTGATTTAGAAAGACAACTTTTACAAAGAGTATTTCTGAATGGGACAAAGCAAGAGGTAAAGTATCATTTCTGTAGTACGTGAGAGATTTTTTCCTAACCGAAAAGTTTAATATTGCAAATTTTAAGTGGAGAGATAAATGAAATGTTTGTTACAGTTCCAATGTGTGTCTGACATATGTAAGTATATATTGAATCCACATCTCTACTACTACTATGTTATTGAACAAACCTACAAATGTGGCCCTGGTAGCCAGGAGGTCTGGAAAGGAGAAAGTAGGGATGTAAATGTGATTTTGAAAATATTGAAATTACAGATTACTTATATAATTATTTTCTATTTTATAATTCTCAGTGAGGGATAATTTTCCCCCCTAGGAGATATATGACAATGTGTGGAAACATATTTCATTGTCACAACTGGCCAAATATATGTTCCTTGTTGTTACTGCTGTTAAATGCCTACCACCCTAGGATATAAAGGGCAACCAATAGTTATCCAGCCCAAAATATCAATAGTGTTAATGTTGAGAAATTCTGTAGTATAACTATATAAAATCATGAGAGGTTTTGGTATCTGAGGCTTACGAAGGAACCATTGTTTTTGTTTTAATTCTCAGGGTGTTTGCTTTGAGGAGGGCCAGTAAAGCAAATTGCAGACATAAAACATTTTACTTAAAGTACATACAAAAGATGTTTAATCTTTCGTTTTAACTGGTAGAACCCTTAAATGACTCCCAAGAGAAATGTTCTCTCAGTTCTTGAGAGATGGATTACAGAGATCACGTGATTAGAGAACATTTGAGCATTTCTTCACAACAAAAGTGCCCACTGGAATTTTTGTGGGTTTTTTCTTATTAACCAAAGCTTTTTCCTTCCAATTATTCTTAAAAGCCTCAATTAGGTGCTAATCTGCTTTATCGTGTCTCTAATACTTGCTAATCTCATTTTAAACAAGGATGACTACTCATTACTCTCCAACCATCTGTAGAACAATAGCAAAACCTCTTGTCTAAGAATCTGGAGTGTTTCCTGTCACAGAATAGGAAAAAAAAAAAAAAAAAAAGGCAAATAGTTGTGAATTGATGTCATAGGAAAGGATAGATTGGCCTCATGCCTCAAAGTTCCCACTATATTCTCTCCTTTGGGCTGCAATATTGTTTATAAAGAACAACCATTAAAAGGCAGATAATTTACTTGGGTCCCTGTGAGTTGGAATCAACTCCAGCGCAACTCACAACACTTATTTTGGTAAAGTAACGATTGGTAAAATGGATTTGATAGATTAATTTATATGAGATTTAAGGATAGCACAGAACCAGCTTTCATGCAAGTCTCAGGAGAGATGATTATTTGACTATTACTCAACTGCAGAATTAGCAATGTCACATAAAGAAATCCTGGTACTATGGGTAGATTCCGATTCACAGCAACCTTGTGAAAGTAAAATGGAACAGCTGGTGAGTTTGAACTGCTGATCTTTCAGTTAGCAGCTGAGTGCTTAGCCACTGCACCATCAGAGTGCCTAAGTGAAATCACATATCGAAACCCAAGTTCTCTGTGTGGGCAGTAGTGGTGGTGGTATGCCACTGAGTCGGTTCTGACTCAAAGCGATACTGTAGAGGGTTTCCAAGGCTGTAGATCTTTACAGGAGCAGAAAGCCTCATCTTTCTCCCCTAGAGTGACTGGTACATTTGAACTACTGCCCTTACAGTTAGCATCCCAGCTCATAATCCACTACCCTTCCAGGACTGCTTAACCTCTTCATGGTAGACTCATATTCTAACTCATAGTCAACCTATAGAACAGAGTAGAATTACCCTGCCGGGTCTCCAAGGCTGTGAGTTCTCATGGTAGAAGACTGCTACGTCTTTTTCCCACAAAGAAGCTAGTGGGCTCAAACCATCAACCTTTTAGATAGCAGCTACTTGCTTAATCACTGCACTGCCAGGGCTCCTCTGTGATGTCAGATGTTGTTTGCAGGTACCATTAAGTTGGCTCTGACTCATAGTGACCCTATATACAATAAAAAGAAACACTGTCTGGTCTTGAGCCACTATTTACTCACAATTATTGTTAAGTTTGAGCCCACTGCTGCTGACAGTGTGTCAATCCAGCTTGTTTGGGGTCTTCCTCTTTTTCACTGACCCTTCACTTTACCAAACATGATGTCCTTTTCCAGGGACTGGTTCTTCCTGATAACGTGTCCAAAATATTTGAGATGAAACCTCACTTGATCCCTATTTGTAAGGAGCATTTTGACTTGTCATATTTGTTGTTGTTAAGTGCGGTTGAGTCGATTCTGACCTATAGCAATCCTGTATAGGGTTTTCAAGAAGCAGCTGGTGAGTTTGAACCACTAGCCTTGTGGCTCAAACTGAGCTTGAGATTAAGTGCTTATCCAGGTCACTTAAAATCAGCAACTCTGGGATGATTTACACCATGCAAATCTTCAATGATACAAATAATGGTTTTCTACATCATCCCTCCTCAATCCTACACTCCCAGGAAAGCAGGGCTTTGAATCGATTTTTCCTGGTTCAATCATGTCTGACAAGGCAAAATCAGAATGGACCTAAATTTGTAAAAAGTGGGTATACTGGAATGATAACAGAAACAGGAAAAATGTGGGTCAGCACCCTGCTAGAGACTTCATTTACCTCTTTAGAAGCAAGGGCATGTGTGTCACTTGGCAAACAAACCTCATGATGGGCAGAGTTAGAAATAATAGTGCCAGTTCAAAAATGGCAGTTAACCATGTGGTTTTGAATATGTGTCATTCTTCACAGTCCTGGCAAAAATATACTCTCCTGCATCAGGCTCTTGAAAGGACTCATTGTGCCTCGTCCAAGTCTCCCATTTCAGCTCTGGAATTGTTGTGGTATGACCACTTTTTACAAATTCAGGTCCGTTCCAATTTTGCTTCGTTGGCCATGACTGAACCAGTTTGAATCCGTTTGAAGGCTTGCAGGAAAGCCAGTTTACCTGCCCATTGCTGAGATTACATGGTAACAGGGATTTTATTTGGTGTTTTGTTATCATGAGGGAGAAGAGAGACACTGCTCAAAGAGCATAAGGAGAGTCCTGTTATTCTGATCTATCTCTAGGGCACTGAGGAGATTTAGAAGAGAAGGAACATGATGGAAGAAGGGTCAGAAGGAAAGAGAAGTTCATCTACTTCATAGCTCTGTGCACTAACTCCAAGGGAATATTGTCAGAATTGGTCAAGTTTAACACCAAGTTCAGTAAGAATCTGAAAATAATTACTATTAGCCAATGGAGCTGAATAAACTGTCTTTTACATCTAAATTCTATGTTATTATAGTTGAAAATATTAGCATGTTATGTTTGATCACCTAATTTCAATAGTATATAGGATAATCTTCAGTTTCACAGCTATGGTATAAATATTAAGCCAAAAAATATGTTTGGGAATGTTAACATATTTTTGTCTTAAAACAATTGGCACCACATCTTTGACAATTTTACCATTTAAATAATTTTGGGAATATATAAAAATGACAAGTAGTTAAAATAATAAGATTTTTATAACAATAAAAACAGTTTTGACGTGAAAGGGAAAATATTAATAACTTAATTTTGAAATTTGATTTTACAGAAAGTGGGCAGTAGAGAGAAACATGTTTCAGGAATGGCAATAAATTGGATAAATGAAGAAATTATTTGGTCAAACCAACAAGAAGGAGTCATTACAGTAACAGATATGAAAGGAAACAATCCCCGAGTTCTCTTAAGTAGCTTAAATTGTCCTGCAAATGTAGCAGTTGATCCAGTAGAAAGGTAAATTCTGCTGTTTTCAGACATTGAAATACATTACAAAATCTGATGAAGATTCACAAAATTATAACATTTTGAACTCAAAGAGACCTTACTGTTCATTGTGGTCTAGGCCTTATTATATACAGAAAATAACATCATTAGTTTTAATAGCCTGAATCTGAATGAAAGCAGACTACTTCTAACTACTATGGCTTCCTGCTTAAAATTAGGATCCCTGATGGTACAATGGTTAAAAGCTTGGCTGCTAACCAAAAGGTTTGAACTCACCAGTGGCCGAAAAAAACCTGATGATCTGCTCACATAAAGATTACAACCCTATCATCCTATGTTTTGTGAGTCAGAAATTAATCAGCGGGTAGCACACTACACCAAACTTGAAATGACAAGGATTGGGTTCTACTGCTTGTCTCTCCACCTCTCTTGGTCTTCTTCTCCCACTGTATCAAATGCTCATTTCCTTCTTCAGTACTACTTATTCTCTATTGTTTTCTCTCTCTTCACTTAAACCATCAAAACCCAAAAACCCAAACCATAAGAACAAACCAAACTCGTTGCCATTGAATTGGTACTAAGTCATGGGTGACTCCACATATACAAAAGAGAACTACTCCAATAGGGTTTTTGAGGCTGTGACTATTCGGAAGCAGATTGTCCTCTCTGTCTTTCTTGTTGTCTCTGAATGGGTTTGAATTGCCAACCTTTTGGTTAGTAGTTGAGTGCATGACCATTTGTGCCAACCAAAGTTGCTTATTCTTAATCCCTATTGTTTTCAACTCATAGCAACTCTATGTACAACAGAACAAAACATTGTCTGGTCCTGTGCCATCCTCACAATAATCGCTATGTTTGAGTCCATTGTTGCGGCCTCTGTGTCAATCCAGCTCATTGAAGGTCTTCCTCTTTTTTTGCTGGCCCTGAACTTTACTAAATTTTATTTTCATCTCCAAGGGCTGGTCAAACATGTCAAAAATATGAAAGACAGTTTTACCATCCTCACTTCTAAGGAACATTCTGGCTGTACTTTTTCCAACACAGATTTGTTTGTTCTTCTGGCAGTCTATGGTACTTTCAGTATTCTTCACCAGTACCATAATTCAAACACATTGATTCTTCTCCAGTCTTCCCTATTCTTTGTCCAATTTTCACATGCATGGAAGGTGATTGAAAATACCATGGCTTGGGTCAGCAAACCGTAGTCTTCAAACTGAGAGCTTTGCTGTCTAACACTTGAACCCTACTGCTATGCCAATTCTCAAAAACACAGTTCTGATAAGGTTGTTGTTCTTAAGTGCCGTCAGCTGAGTTCCGACTCATAGCCACTCCTGTAGGGTTTCCAAGGAGTGGCTGGTGGGTTTGGACTGCTGACCTTTTGGTTAACAGTCCAGTGCTTCTCCTGCAGTACCGTACCAGGACTCCAATAAAGTCAGACTCCTCAGTAACCTTTGCCAACTTCACATGTTGGCATCCAAGGCTCTTCACACAGGACACCAATCTTTCATTATAACTTCTACTACTCTCCTTCACTTACTTTTTTCCATAGCCCAAGTAAATGATTCAGTATTTCCCAAACATGTTTAGCACTGTTTTTAAAATCTCTGTTCTCCCTTCAAAGCCGTTTCCCTCCATCTCTGCCCATGGGAAACCCTTTGAAATGCATTTCATTGACTTTCCCCTTTCAGCATTCCTGATGCCCAATGGGATGTGATTGCTGATTCCCCACCAGGTTTTGATATTTGTATCTTTGTCACTAGTCCCTTTGAGCTGTATGTTTTTATAGCTCTTGTGTATTTCTTTCTCCTACACAGAGAAGCTCTGTGAAGACAGGATTGTCCCATTTAGCTTCAATTCCTGCCTCCTAAATAAGGTATCATGACAGAAGAATAAATGTCGTTGTTGTTGTTGTTAAGTACCATTGAGTCGAGTCCGACTCATAGTGACCCTGTATAGTGTTTCCAAGGAACAGCTGGTGAGCTTGAACCATTGACCTTGCTGTTCAAGCTGACCTTGCAGCCCAACACAGTAACCACATGATTTTGTGCAGATGAATAGGGGTAGCTGAAACACTGAGAGGTGGCCATTTAAGCAAATGTACACTCAATGACATACCTTTATAACGTGTTTGCCCTCAGGTTTATATTTTGGTCTTCAGAGGTGGGTGGCAGCCTTCACAGAGCCCACCTCAATGGTACGAGTGTGAAGATTCTACTAAAGACACCAGATACTATTACAGCTATGTCATTGGATGTACTTAATAAACGACTCTTTTGGATTCAGTACAGTAAAGGAAAAGATTCTCATATTGGCTCCTGTGATTACAATGGAAGCTCTGTCCATCTTAGCAAACATCCCACACAGTAAGTTTGGCTTTGGATGTGAAATAAAGCAATTGCCATTTGAAACTTGTGTGAGAAAGTCATTTTACTTTTGTCAATTAAACTGGAATGGTGTTTAAAGTTCCAGATTTACTATTTAATAGATGGGTGATTTAGGGCAAGTATGTATCTTCCTCTTATCCTTAGTTTTCTTTAGTGTGAGAATCATAATAGTACCCATATCTTGGGGCTTTTATGGAGATTACATAAATGAAAGTAAATAAAATAATTAGCAGAGTATCTGGAAAATAGTAAGTTTTCATATGTTGGCAATTGTTATAATTTTTGGAATAACTGAGCCCAGATAGTGCTATGAGTTTGGCATTGGGTTACTAACTGCAAGATGGGCAGTTCAAATCCACCAGTCACTCAGTGGGAGAAAGATGAGGCTTTCTGCTCCCATAAAGAGTTACATGGTTGCCGTGTGTCAGAATGAACTCCATGGCAGTGGGATTAGTTTTGATTTATACATCTTGTAAGACTTCTGTCTTGATATTATTTGTTACCGTGTTAGACACTGACTCTCTAGTTTGCACTTATAGGAAGATAGAGATTGCCTCATTTAGCTTAAACTCCTTCCCCTAAAGGAGGGATCATACCAGGGTAATCAATATGTTTTCAATGGGAATTTCATTCAAAATCATCACACTGAGACAGGGGCAGCTGGAACACTGAGTCAATTGAGTCAAGTGGGAAATTGACAAAACTCGAAATCCTGTCTCTTATACTGTTGTTGTTTCCCAGTAATGTGATAACTAATCCGGGAATTGAGACAGTAGATGTGGAGCCAGTCATTATAGTCTACTAGTTCAGATTTGAATTCTATAAATGAAAAAGGATTGAAAATTTAGGTGGTTAACATCCAAACGGTGAATTGAAATAAAATAAAATTTTAATAAGCCAAGGAACAAATGTTTTGACATTCTTTATCTCCCTCCCCTCTGTTACTATTCTCCCCCCTATTATTTTTTAGACACAATTTGTTTGCAATATCTCCTTTTGGTGACCATATCTTCTATTCAACCATGAGAAAGAATGCAATTTGGGTAGCCAACAAGCAAACTGGGAAGGATATGGTTAAAATTAATCTCAATCCGTCCTTTGCACCACCTCGTGAAATTAAAGTAGTGCATCCACTTGTACAGACTGAGGCAAAGGGTGGTGTTCTCGAATCTGGTGAGTCCTCTTTGACCTTGTACAGGGTATGGAACATGTCCCCACCTGTTAACTTGCTCACATCAGACATTTATGGGTCACCTTTGATTTCTTTCAAAGTCTCTGTGATAGTGAAGATTTTGTGTTAACTTGGCTGGACCAGAATTCTCAGTGGTATGACAGTTAAGATGTAGTCATCTCCCATGATGAGATCTAATATAATATAATCACTTATACGATGAGATCTGCTATGAGCAGTCAATGAATTGAAATAAAGTTTCCTCAGGGGTGTGGCCTGCTTCCAGTATCTTGAACATTTGGGTAGAGTTTGTTGCTTTTCTGCTGGGTCTGGGTCCTGCATGTGGCTTGTCATCTGGCCTCTGGTTCTTTGGACTTGAACCAGTAGCCTGCTCTATTACCTGCCAATCCTGAAAGCTGTCAGCAGCTGCCATTTTCCCTGCCTACCTACCATCTGACTTGCCAATCTTGGTTCATCAGTACTGCACCTACAAGAGTCAGAAGACTCCTA